TTAGAACTTAATTTTTGAGGAATCCAGCATTCGCTGTGAGTCCATGCCATAGCTGCACGAACCACCTCGTTCTTTATGCGACAGCCTTGCTGAACACTTTACTTGACAGTTTTTTCCTCCAGCTTCTCCCCCAACAAGCGCTACAAATTTACACCAAAACACACGAACGTCTACCCTCTGTCTTTTAGGTCTCAGCTGTCCCAGTTTATTTCCGCGGAGGAGATGGAAGAGATCAAGAAAATGGCCGCGGCTGTGGCTGCAGCTTCCGGTTACCACAGCGCGCAGTCCAGCAGCAGCAGCCTCACACGCAAGGCCTCCTGCCCGGTAATTTCCGACTCCGCATCAACCTGCGACTCTCCAGCATCCATAGCTTCACCCCTTTTGACGAGGGACTCACCCCAGCAGGTTCAGCCATCCGGTACTGATGCCGAGGACTCCCAGCCACCCCTCTCGAATGATACGGAGGGTGAGCATAAGGAAGAGGACGGGGCAAAGGGAGCCGACACAGAACCAGCCTCCTCTCCGAAGGTGAGTCCCAGGTCCTCCTTCCACCTACATTTTTCGGGTTGCGCATTTTTTACGGCCAAAGCCCAAAAGGTTTTGTCTGCTTTTTTTTAAACACGTTTAGAGCCTTTTTGTTGGTCGGTAAGTAAACTTAATGTGACTGCACAAACTCTATCCTTCCAAGGAAGCCGTAAAAGTGGTGCCATTTCGGATAACTTAACTGATTTCTCTCGCATACATAGCCTTCGCTTTTGAATTTCGATCTTCTTCCCTAATGCAACGTCCTTATATAGTTTGGAAGTAGCAATATGCCGTCTTTGCTGGTGAAGCCGCAAGTGAAAAAAACTGTACACCCCAACATAGGCTTTGACTAATAACTGAAACACGGCACCATTTCGGTTGTGCTTGCAGCTGCCTCCAAGCCCATCAGACCAGTCTTTGGGGAAATTCGTGGGCTTCAGGCAAAGGGTGTTTGCTAGAGACGAGTGCTTTGACACTTCCAGGGCAGTCACTAATAATTTCCAAATTACGGCTTTCTGTTTGTCTTCCGTCGCAGCATGGCCTAGATTGGCATAGGTTCATAGGCTGACTAGGCACTTGCAACTTTTACGCGTGTCGCACGAGTGCTCGTACCCCACATTCTACGCACTGGAGTTCGCTGCATTGAACCTCGAATCTGTGAGTTGCCGTAGAGCGCACCATTACAACCTGACTCCTTATATCGGCTGAAAAGCTAGGCTTCTAGATCTATATTGAAAAGTACGCCTTTTAATCACGTATCAGAGTCGTGAAAGTTAGGAGATGTAGTTTAGGAACGACCCTCCCCTCCCCTCAGTGTACTAGTGGGAAGTCTGGATCAGGTTGGTTGTACAAGATGTCGAACACATTTGTTGGCGTAGCACGAAGCCCCCCATCTCCATGGGCCTCAATTCTGGCCTAGTCCCGTTCGGATCTACCAACAAGAAACTTGACCCTAATAATTCAGAACTCTATTTTTTTCACCGAATTTATATCCTGAAATTAGAGTTCGTATCTCATTAAGTGAAAACTGAGAAGGCAAGTTCGATTACTTTTTGGTTTCGGTAGGGGTCAACACATTGCAGAATTTTATATGGTTGTTTGAACCTTAAAGGCAAGTTTAACCTTTTTTCAACAGGAGATACTTTACTAGCTTCCAAAAGTTGTATTTCCTCTCTTATTTGGTGACTATGTCCTACAAGATAGGAAAATTTGAATATCAACGAACGGAATTTATAATTTGCATGTGATGCATTTTTAATCTTTAGGCCCTACGGACAGGGCGTGTCGGCCTTAAAACGCGAAACTTATACCCGACCTTGTCATCCGTAAGCCCCTCCGAATTGTCGGTCCTTAGGACAAAGTCTTCTAGTTGGCTCAGCTGGTTGCAGTTGTCTCCAAATGACGGCGTTTCTTCTTGTGTTGGAAACGGGTGCCGAACAGGTGTTAATGGACTTTGCTCATCAGTAGGGAAAGTAAACTTTCGTCGAAGTCTTCTTCAGAACACAAGGTTCCCCGTTAGCGTATTAATGGCATACCTATATGATAAGGGATGTTTGACAAGGTGTCTTAACAGTTGTGTTTCTTAGCTTTAAAGCTAGTCTTTATGGTTGTACCCGATCGCCGTTAAAATACAGTGATGGGTTCATGAATTCGCGCATCTCACAAAGGACCCTTTTTCCATAAGCTGGCCAAGTGAGCTATATTTG